GGCCTCTGCATTCTCAGGGCCAACTCTATCCAGGATGGAAAAGAACTTTTCCTTCAGAGGATGAGAAGGAAAGAGCAGGGTGGACCAGGTGTCCCTGAATGGGCTATTACTGTTGAAGAAGAGAGGATAATATAGGCGCAGAGAAGGCAGCGGTGTCTCAGTGACGTCCACAATCCCACAGGTTTCTCATAACCGGTGAGCCTCCCTGGTATAAAGACAGCTGTCCTGTGCCCCACTTAATGGTGATGCAAAAATGACCTCCAAAACCCCAGGGGGCATGAAAAAGCCTGTTCTGGGTTTAATGGGGCGCCCAGGGATTTGGTGACCTTCAGTAAGTACTTCTGAGCCCTGTGGCCTCGTTTGCCAATCCGCTCAAAATCAGAGCAGCTTAATTTCCCATAAAAATGTAGCCAGTGGAAACGTATTCGGCAGTAAGTACTCAGGCTTTTCTCTCTGAGCAGAATTAAAAGGTCATGGTGCTGCTTATCACATGCCTGCAACATACCTTGTCTAAGGAATCAGCCCCGTTTATCCTCTTTCTCTTGACAGCAATCGGGGGGTCAGCGTGGCCTTGCCCAGTTTTCACATAAGAAGCTGGTAGAGCAAGAGGTGATGGGACTTGCCCAGGAAGACAATTGATGGAGCTGTCTCGCGTCTTGTGCCCTCTGGCACCAGGCAGTGTGGATGACTCTGACCTTCGGAGGGTTTGTTCCCTCCATCTGCTGCCATGCTGTTAGTCTGGCATACAGATCAACAAGGGCTGGGTGCAGAAAACAGAACAGAAAGGCTTCTGCATGCAAGAGTCAGAGCTACAGCTCCTTGATGCTGACGTAGCACAGAGAGATACATATCATTGTTAGCTGGCATCAAGTCAATTACAAATCTATGTACAAAACAGTGCCCGGTCCTGCGCCATCCTCACAATCATACTGACCATCCTTCTGGTTTGTGAGACTACAAAATGTATGGGAGGAAGCTCCTTATCTTTCTTCACAGAATTATCAGTGGATTCAAGCAGTTGACTTTTCAATGAGCAGCCTGGCTAGTAGCCTAAACCCAGTTATGTTTCCTTTGTGGTGAAGTCTAAATTAGAACAGAAGCCTTAGAAATGGTCTAGAATTTGACTTCTGTTGTTTCTGCTGTGGAGACACAGAGCAGTATTTAATGTCACTGTGTACTTGGGGGTCAAAGCGATCCTTTGTCTCTGGTACAAATTGTGTTTCAAGCTCTCTGGGGAACAGTATATAAAGCCCTTGAGTGATTTCTCTTTGCCAGATTGAGTGATTTCTCCTGGCCTTTTATCCATTATACTATCATAGTACACACTCTCTTCAATTACTGACATAGTTTCCTTCCATAACAAGCAGATGTTGTTGTGTTAAGATTGACATTATGCAAAAATAGAGGATAATCACATCAGATCACAATATGGAGAATGACTACATCATTACATATATACAAAATTACATCATTACTGAGCTGCAAAGCTTCAGAGAATCGTGACCCAGACAAGGTGCCACATACCTTGAGCTGTCTCAGTGGCACTGCCCTCTCCTCCCACCTCCATATTCATCACTGTCAGACATCTGCCATCAATGTGCCACTCGTGTTTCATTAGTGTTGTAAATGTCTAGTACCTAGACAGGTGGCAAGCAGGAAGCAGGTGTGTTTTAATATTCTGGTATGTTCTTATCATTAATCTATCCTCTGCTAAGAAATGAGTTCATTCTATAAATTTGCCTTCTGAGATTCTGTTTATTCAGCCATAAAGCAGGTGGATTTGAGGATTAATTTATACAAATCCAAAATCTCTGTAAATTTTCATTAAAATTAATAATAGTAAAAATATTTTAATTTATTAAAAAAGACTTAGAAGACTATACGCTTTCATTTGTTTCTGCTTCTTTTTCTAGTGATTTTCTGCCCTCCTCTTTGGAAAAGATAAGCTCTCTCTCTGTGTGTCACTGTCAGTGACCCATGGATGCCCTTCTCTACAAGATAATACAGAATCCTTCCTGACATTTATTACAAACTTAAATGACAGAATAATATGTGATATTATGGTTGTAAACTGCTTAAATGTACTATTTCTTAGATAATATGAGTGCTAACAAAATTGTTTTTAAAATCTTTTCACATTGTAATAAAACACTATCAGGCACAAAAAACCCTCCCAATACTTTTTATTATATAAAGTATACTGAGTCATTTTATAGCTTAATCTTGGCCTCTTCATCTGGGAAAAAATACCTTATGGATTTCCTGTGCAGATTACGAATGTGACACAATTGAGAAGCATTTAAGAAACTGTTAAGTGTGCTATTTTCCTTGGTAGTCTTGTACATGAATAGCATTCCTTTATAGAAGTCTCAGCACTACTAGTTTTAAGAGTACTTGTATGCTTTCCAACTGCTTGGCTTTCAGCGCTTTAGAGGAGTTTCCTCTTTTGCTTCCTACAGTAAAGGACCTACATGGGAGATACAGGAGGTTCTGCAACATCATGGGGTAGATTCTATCTTCTTGAAATTAAATTTTCAGTAACATTTAGAGATTCTAAGAGTATACTTTGAATGAACAAATGGACACAAAACTGAGAAGCACTCCCAGAAAATGTTTAGCGTTTGTATAATCAGAATTAGTGTGTTGTTTTTCCACAAACTGTTTGTCTGTATTACCCATTGGGAAGTTATTTTTGTTAGATGCCTTTGAATCAGCTCATAGTAACTCTTCACACAACAGAACGGAATGCCTTCGACTCCTGTGCCACCTTCCCAGTCCATTCTACGATTGAGCCCATCGTTGTAGGCACTGTGCTCATCTGTCTCTTTTAAGGTCTTTCTCGTTTTCACTGACCTTCTAGCTTTCCAAGCACGGTGTTCTTGGCAATTGGTATCTCCTAATAACATGTCCAGAGTATATACAGTCTAGCTCTCCTAGCTGCTAAGAAATTTTTCTGGCTGCACTTTATCCAAAAGAGAGAATTTTGTTTACTTGGCTCCACAGTCAACACCAGCCACCAGGAAATAAAAAGGGTATTGCGATGGGAAAGTCTGCTGTTAGAGACCTCTCCAAACTAATGAAGAGCAATGCTGTCACTCTGGAGACTAAGGTGCACCTGATACAGGCCATGGTCTTTGCAATCACTTGCTATGCGTCAGAGAGCTGGACAATGACTAGGGAGGGTATAAGGAGAGTTGATGCCTTTGAGCTGTGCTGTTAGAGAAGAGTATTGAATGTGTCATGGACTGCTAAGAAAACAAACAGATTTGCCCGAGAGTGGGTTAAACCAAGCTGCTCCTTGGAGGCAAGGATTCTGAAGCTTCTTCTGTCATACTTTGGACATGTTGCAAGGAGAGACCAGTCCTTGGAGAAGGACATCATGTTTTGGAGGGTGGAGGGAACAGCACAGGAGAGGAAGACCTTTTATGAGGTAGACTAAGTGACTAGGGTAATGGGGGTGGGTGTGTCAGAGACACTGAGATTGGCACAGGATAGAGCAGGGTTTAGGGCTGTTGTCGATAGGGTAGCTATGAGTAACAGGCAATTCGATGGCATGTAACAAGAACAACAACTGGCAATCCGTGATATAGACAATACTATTGCTTAATACTCTTCAGTCTTCCGTGTTCATGGATTGGTTATTTATTGTTGTTGTTATGTACAATCAAATTAAGTATGAGTCACAGCGACCCTATGAATAACAGATTTGAACTTTGTCATATCCTGTGCACTGTCATTATCTTTGATACACTTGAGCCCATTAATGGAGTCACTGTGTCAATCCATTTCATTGATAATCTTCTTTTCTTTTTCTGACCCTCCACATTTCCAAGCAAAATATACTTTTCCAAGAAGTAGTCCTTCCTCCTGGAGAGCATTATGCTGAGTGAACTAACTCAGTCCCATAAGGACAAATACTGCATAAGACCATTATTGTACCAAGGAAAAGATAACTAGTAAAACATATATGAGGATTGGGGGGCAGGGGGAGGCAGGGAGCAGAGGGGTTAGGCTGGGCATGGGGGAAATCATAGGGTCACGCAATTTGGTGGGTGGAGGGAGGGATAATGAAAGGAAATGGGAAAGATCCAGCAGGGATCTGGAAAGACAGGGTAATGGTATTAATTTTATAAAACATAATGAATGGGAATGATTTTGTGAAACTATATGAATGAAAGATAGTATTCTTTTGCTTTTCAAGGAGAGGAGCGAACTGGGGGTGGGAGTGAGTGGGTGGGGAGGAAAGTGCAACAATGAATGAATGGAATTCCAAAATCTCTGTAGATGTTCATTGAAATTAATAATAATAATAAAAATAATAATAATAATAATAATAATAATGTTATAAAAATAAATAAATTCAAAAACAACAACAAAACACAATGTATATGAACTTTATAAGTAAACCAATGTAAAATAAAAATTTTCAAAAACAGTAATCCCTCCTCAAAGTAAGTGAGATGAAGTTTCCCCACTCTTTCTTAGATAAGCTGCCGTCCGAGTGCTGCTTAGAGACAAGGACTGAGGACTTAGCAGTCAAAAAGGCTGCCCGGGGTCTCCTCGTGCCCATTCAGCAGTGACTCGTGGTCATCCATGAGGGCTGCAGCTCTGTGGGGTCCATGAAACCACCAGCATGCACTCTCTTGCATAGAACAGTGTGCATGTTGTCAGATCCAGATCTATGTGTATGTGCTTATCAACTTGGCTTGGCTTTGACCCTTCATTATGACCGAGGCATAGGTCAGAAAAGAGCTCCTGAACCACTTGGCAGTCAAACTCTTGAACGACACATACTTAGCCAAGACCCCATGCTTCTGAGATGCCAACCCTTACCTGAACTGATATCTTTATAGGATATTATTATAGGATATCAGTCTGGACTTGTAATGTTTGGAATACACTGGGGACCATTGCGTTCTATAAGCTGCACAGATGCTTGAAGGAGCCTCAGGTCTGGGACAGTGCTGCAGCTCTTGGTTCCTCCGGCTTTTGTTTTGCAGAGAGCACCAGCCTGCGCTCCGCCTGTGTTCATGAGGGCACCGTGCACAGCCGCATCTTTCAAATCTTGTACAGGAACGAAGAGGTGACCATAAATGATGTCATGATCTTCAGAGCTCATTTGCTCCTAGATGGTGAAAGGGTAAGTCCTGTACCTCCTGCAGCCTCTCATCTGCCTGTCACACCCACTGCTTAGGAAGTGGAAGGTGAAGGAGGAGCTACAGAACTCCTTCCGGAATCCAACAGGTGGGACTCTCTGACCTTAGAGCATCCATTACCTCTGTATGTCTGTGTGCACGTATATGGATGTATGCTTGTGTACACACATATAGACCGACATTTATTTACTTATTTCTTTTTGTTCTTATCCTTTCTTTCATTCATAGTCTTACTCATTTCCTGTAACCTCAAGTGTAAGTCATTCCAAGAAGCAAAACATATCTCATCTTCCTCTAGACCCCTAACACCTGCCGTGAGATAATAATACTGCAGATGCGTAACAATGGTGATTTAGATGCCACATGAAGGGAATTCGAGTGACAAGGGTTTGTTTTGCTAAACCAAAGGCAAGAGGTTCAAATCCACCAGCTGCTCCTTGGAAGAAAGATGAACAGTCTACTCTCATGCAATTTACAGTTTCTGAAAACCCATTTGAGGGTCAGCTGTGAGTCAGTTCCAGCTTGAGGGCAGTGAAGAACAACACTGACAGTCGGCCAATGAATTCCTGCATGGAGGGAAGGATGCATGGAGAGACAAATGGAACTGGGTATCTTTCTCATTAGGGTCTCTGTAATTTATCCTGTTAAACTGAAATTAATAGCACCCATGTGCACCCTTTATCTAGCCTCACCGTTCACTCACACAGCCATCCCAGGTGAGGGCTGCCTCCCATAAGATGTCAACCAACACACACCTAACCCCACACAGCCACCTCACTAGAGCCTGTGGTTTACTTGATTTGTATCTTTCTAGTGTTATCATCACAGGAAGCTTTGGGTGCAGTACACAGAGAGCTTCACTGCTAATCATCTCTTATGGAGGCTGTAAATCACACAGGGGATTTTGTCCATCTTGCTCCCGTGGGTCCACTGCAGATTTAAACTGCTATAGAGGAACCGCCTTTGAGTTAACAGTGAATTGTGCCACTATTGCTCCCTGTGTGATTTATAGCCTCCAAAATGTCCACTGCAAAGTCACCTGTGAGTTGGTTCCGACTTAACTAATAGGAGTTGTTTTAGTTGTCTGCAATTACAGTGATTATGAATATATTACCTATGTTGGTGGTGTGTCATAGCCCTTGAAAATTCACTTTTCTAGCCATTGTGTTAGCCCTGGGTGGGTGGATGTGATCTCTGGCTCCCTTAACTGCACACACGCGGTCTTACAAACCATCAATAGCTGTGCGACCAATATCTCACATATGATGATGGTGGAGAGCTTGTAAAGAGACTGTGGCACTGCTGCGAAGAGATTGGGGCAAGGTATAACCAGACAAACCTTGGAGATAAAGGCCATAGTCAAAGGTTTAGCTTGCTGGATGATTTAAGGAAAAGCTGACTAATAATTGCTCTGAGATAAAGTTTGCTGGATGATTGAGGAAGCCAGAGGTGCATCTGTGCTGCTCAACTGAACCTGCACTTCCACTGGTTGATTGAGAAGCTATCTGAGAAGCTATCACTAATTGAGAAATTGTGCCTTACTAATCTGGCTTGAGGAGTGGCATCCACTTCCCAATTAGCTTGCCTCCGGAAACCCTATGAACCTGGAGAAAGAATGAAAGTTATACAAGTGTCCAGGTCTTTCGTTCATAGGGTCACTATGAGTCACCTATGACTTGATGGCACTTGACAGCAACAACAATCTGGCTTGATACTGCTGGATTAAACCTAGACTTACATTGTAACATAGTTTTTGCCTCCTCCACTCTGCATCCTATTTCCCTAATAAACTCTACAACTGTGAGTCTTGAAACAAACATTGGAGCCAGTGCTTGGTAAAAATGGGTGCAGGATCATGTGGGCTGGCATGTCTGACTATGTACCTATGGACCTCTCTAAAGTACTCAAGAGCAACGATGTCTCTTTGGAGACAAAGGTGTGCCTGATACAAGCCATGGTCTTTGCAATCACCTGTTATGCATCAGAGAGCTGGACAATGACTAGGGAGGACAGAAGGAGAACTGATGCCTTTGAGCTGTGGTGCTGGAGAAGAGTATTGAATGTACCATGGACTGCCAAGAAAACAAACAGATTCATCCTAGAGAGGGTTAAACCAGGCTACTCCTTGGAGGCAAAGACTCTGGGGCTTCGTCTGACATACTTTGGACATGTTGCAAGGAGAGACAGGTCTTTGGAGAGGGCATCATACTGGGTAGAGTAGAAGGACAGCGCAGGAGAGGACGACCCTCTATGAGGTGGATTAATTCAGTGACTCGGGTAATGGGGATGGGTGTGTCAGAGGCAATGCGATTGGCACAGGATAGAGCAGGGTTTAGGGCTGTTGTACATAGGGTTGCTATGAGTTCACAGGTGACTCAACGGTATGTAACAACAACAACAACATAGACATTATTGATAGGGACAGTGCCACAACTGAAGTGGGTAGAAGTCAGACGTTGCTATCATCATGTTGCATCTGCTCTTTTTACAGTTGGAAATTGTAAAGATAGAGGCACATGGCTACTCTCAGCAGTGCTGACCATCTTCTGGTGGCCTCTTCATCTCCTCTTTCATGCTTCCTGACTTAATTTGCACCTCAGGAAGTTACAGTATAGGCTGTTGTTCATTAGTCTCCTGATAATTTTGACGGAGTTCCATTTAGGAGAGGTTGCTCAGCTATTTGGAGGGAAGACAAAGGCAGGGGAGCAGTGTCTGAGTGCTGTGCCCCTGCCTCACATTCTGGGCAGCACAGTGGCATATAAGAGCGACCTTGTGCCAGATTTTGAGAGCCTGATACGCACATCAACTCCACGTCTCCATCTTGGGTCTTCATAGTGATAACTTGAAATCAGCTGTGATCAAAGTATTTACAACACAGAAACTGGCAAATGCTAATAAAATTAATTCTTCTCCGTGCTCCAATCACTTACTGTGCCATTTTCTGACATCATGATTCAAATAGCTTCCTCAATAACGCTCTTCTCTTTCTACTTTGAAAGTCTGTGGGCATTAACCCTATGCTCCTGAGCTACTATTTTTACAGCTTCTTCTAGGTCCCCATCACATCTTTGTCGATAACTCTTTCAAGACAATATATGCAGATTCCTCAATTTAAGTACAGGAAAAACCTCAGACACATCCTGGGCTCGATTCCAGACCGCTGCTGTACAGGGGATATCACAGTAATAGCTGTGAGACCAATGTAAACGAGTGTCGGCCACAGTGTGAGAGATAGCTGTGATGATGGTGGAGAGCTTGTGAAGGTTTCTGGTTTCATAATACGTCTAAAAGTTCTATTTAGATTGACACAATGACTACAGCAATGGGCTCAACCATGGAAAGGATCGTGGGAATGGGAGCAAGACCAGCAGACATGCACTATCGGGGAAACAGCACAGACAGAGCAACAGCACAGGGCTGCCCAAGGCATCATCTTATAAAAACAGTGTCTACAAAGCACTAAAAGCAAAATGATTTTAAGGAACTCCTACATGTTCACGCTTCTAAAATTCTAGTAAAAGAATTGCACCTATGACTCACACCTTTGCCATGCTGACCCCACAGAGCTTCCTGGGGAAAACGGTGGTTATTAGCAGTGAAGATGGGTGTTCCTGGGCTATCTTAGCCATCTTGACCCCACCAGAGTCTCCCTCCTGTGACTGATAGCTCGTAGCCTTCTCTATGGTTGGAACATGCCCAGTTGTAGCTCCTGTAAGTTTGTATCAGGCCTTGGTTCTGAGATTTTGCAGGGTCAGAGTTGGACAGCACACGCTGCTCTCCCTTGCATACCAAATGGCCTGTCTCTGCAGCTAATAGTTTATTACTGTGTTGGGGTAATCAATACAAAAGCAAATGATGTTACAACTAATCATTGTATCCAAATCAGTGACAAAGTTAATTGGATGTGCCTATTAAAACAAATGGATAAATTACCTCTTTTCCAATAAATATCTGTCTGCTCACAACAGTAAAACACACTTCTTATGGCCAGGTGGCCAAAGCCTGTCGTCATGCATGGCCACTCCCATCGCCATGACCTGTCTACATGTATGTGTGCTAACATGGACGCCATTCAACAAATTATAGGAAATGCAGCCAAGAAAGGAAGTATGTGCAGTGAGGTACAGAGACGCTCAGAAATGATTACGGACAGAAGTAACTACAGTCAAAGGTGAACTCTGGGATGTTTCCATGCGAGTTTCAAAGAATAAATGTTTGTGAGGGTGAGGTCCATGTTTTGTGTCTATAAACTCTATTTAATCCCATAGGATATTTGAGAAAGCTTGCAAAACTATGTCAGACTAGGAAAAAGGGTAGGAGGGAAGAGTAACAGCATGAGCTGGGGTGGAAGGAAAAACACAAGCAAGAAGATGTAAATGTGAAGCGTGTGGAACAGACCGAAATGTGCTAGAATAGCTGCGGACGTTGGTAAATGATGACCCACATTCTTGGCACCTGGTCATGTACTGGGTCACACATTGTGCTCTTAACCAAAAGACGGGTAGTTCTAACCCTGCTGCTCTGCAGAAAGACGCCTAGCCTCACAAACTCAGTGGAGGTTCACTGAGAGTCAGAGTTGAATTCTTGGCGGTAACAGGGAGTGAAGCTTCCTAGGTCCTAAGCCAAGAAGAGGGTAAAATTATTGATGAGGAGGTGCACAGGCTTTGGGGGCACTGTTGCATTTCTGTAGGCTTAGAAAAGAAACACGTTGTCCAGGGTGTTAGTCGATGTTGGTTCTTGAAATGCCTGAAGCGTGTCCTCTGTGTTCTTAACCCAGGACTTGTTGGCTTGACCCACCCAATGCTCAGTGAGTCAGTCAGATTTCCTCGTCTTTTCTTTTTCCAGGGGAGGAAAGGGACTCAAGACTTTAATGACTAAGGAGTAGCATCTTCACTGGAGCAGTCAAGAGGTTTCACGTCACAGGAAGGCAAGCACCTGCAAAGATAGATCAGGAAGCTTTGGGGAGTGTCTTAGTTACTAGTGCAGAAATACAAGTGATGGTTTAACAAAATGACCTCTACTATCTCTTAGTTTAGGAGACGAGAAGTTTATTTTTTTTTTATTTTATTATTTGTGTTTGTGAGTATACCGTCAAATAGATCTGACTGGTACAGGAGGAGACTGTCCGTCCTTCCCCGGCAGAGCATCTGGTGGATTCAAACCATGCACCTCTGGGATTGCAGTGCAGTTTCTTGCCACTAGGCCACCAGAGATCCCCTAGGAGACGAGAAGTTTAAATCCAAGGGGCCAGCTCTTGTTTCCATTCAAGATATGCGTACTCGGTATTCCCTCGACACTTCCACGTCCCTTGGCATCAACCTTCCTCTGGATGTAAGAGGAGCCCAGCAAGCTCTTCCGGGCTCAGGATACATTCCCCTCCTGCCTGTTTCTCCCGTGGTCCTTCTCGTGGGTCCTTCTTTCTTTGCTTGTTTCTCTCTCCTTTTCCCATCTGTAGGATGAAATGCAAGGGAGGCCACAACCAAGGGATACTTCTGTTAGATGGGATCAGGGCTGCAACCTGGGTGAGGGTGATGCATCCCACTCTAATCCTCTTCTGTCAGATCGAGGTGATCACATTAGATCATATCAAAGGGCAGATTATATCCTTACATAATAGTCACATGACAGCGTTATGTAACTGCCAACACACTGAGAATCATGTGCCAGCCAAGGGGACATATTTTGGGGGACTTTAAGAATGTAGTAACTTATGGGTAGGATGACAGGATTCAGAGGTAGCAAGTGAGGCTGGCGTGGAGGTTGACAGCACAGCGTGGAGAGCTTCAGAGCTCCCCTAAGGTCACATGCCTCCTTGCTGTCAAGTCTCCAGTTCTCTCAAGAATCAGAAGCAGAGAACTTGGACTTGGAAAGGTTGCTTCTGCAAAAATATGGAAAATGAGGTCCATGAGATTGGCCATATAGAGAGCATTAAATAACTCCACAAGACTGTCAGTGAGTGCCGGTCAAGGAAACAGTACTGGGAATAGGAATGATGGTTTGAAAGTGGGCTGCATCGAAGCTGCATGGGGTCCACAGAACTGGGTTACAAATCAAGCTTCAGAAATAGAAGGCGTCCTAGAGAGAAGCGAGTTCAGCGGAAGCTGACTCTAAGGTTTGGACATGAAATGCATGAGAGATATGAATGTATTAAAGAGGAGTTGAAGATGACAAGGCTTTCTTGGGGAGAAGTGTGGACTCAGGTTGAATTATAACAGCAATCACAAGGACCTTGACATGAGTAGCATCTTACGTTGATTGAGTGCACACTGAGTGGTTGGCAAAGATAATGCTGAATGCTTTGGAGTATGCCATTGAATTGTCTCAACAATGTTTTGATATTACTCTCACTTGACAGATGAGAATTACAAGGATTAAGATAAGTCAAGCAGGTTGTCCAAGTCATACAACTAGGAAATTCTATGGACAAGATTTGAATATTAAGATAAGGCTTATATTTACAACCAATGTCAAGAGCCCCATGTTGCTTTCATGGTTGGATGAACCTTTTTGGTTCAGTAATACGCTGAAATAGCAATAACAGTAACCAGTATTTGTTGAGAATGTCCTTTCCAACGCTATGTTAAATCCTAAGATATGTTTTTAATAGTACTGTAACAGTACTGTAACTCTACCCACATTTCCCAGGTACTGAAATGAGCTTAAAGAAATTGTCTCAAATTAAATAAAGTCCTGGAAGGTAAAACGAAATTTTAAGCCCATGTAGTTTAATTCCTCTGCTGCAAAAGAATATTTAAAATGTCAAAAAGCAAAGATGTCACTTTGAGAACTCAGGTGTGCCTGACCCAAATCTTGATATTTTTAATTGACACATATGCTTCTGAAAGTTGGTCAATAAAGAAAGAAGACAAAAAGAAGAGTTTATGCCTTTGAATTATGACATTATTGAAGAATACTGAATATATAAGGGTCACCAGAACAACTATTAACACTTCCTTGGGAAAAGTACTGTTTGAATGTTCTTTAGAAAAGAGAAAAGCAAGATTTTAACTCATGGGCTTTGGAATGTTATCATGAGGTACCTGTTTATATGTTTAGTGAAGTGCAACAAGTTAGAAGCGAGAAGGATGATACTTCATCAGGCATACCTCGATCATGGCATCAGGAGGGTCCACCCGGCATAGCTCAGGGTCCATCTGACATACCTTAGGGTCCATCTGACATACCTTGGGTGTGGCATCAGTAGGGTCCATGAGGCATACCTCGAGCGTGCCATCAGGAGGGGCCACCTGGCATACCTCAGGGTACATCCGGCATACCTCAGGGTCCATCTAGCATACTTTGAGTGTGCCATCAGGAGGGTCCATCAGGCACACTTTGGGCATGGATGGCATAATGAGGGTCCATCTGGCATGGTTTGGGCGTGGATGACATCACAAGGGCCCATCTGATAGACTTGGGGCCTGTTATTAAGAGGAGCCAGTCCTAGAAGAAGGACAGCATACTCGGAAAAGCAGAGAGTCCGTCAAAATGCAGGAGACCCTCAGCGAGACACAGAGATGCCAGGAGTGACGGCATGCGGGCTTCAGAGCAGCGGAGACTGTGAGGCTGGAGCGGGGTGGGCGGGCTTTGTTCTGTACCGCGCAGCACTGATGAAGTCAGGGGGAGACATCCCAGTGGCACCTGACAGTAACAGTCTGGCTGACCACGTGCAATCTATGTGCCCGAGGAGCCCTGGTGGCACAGTGCTCAAGGGCTTAGCTAGTCTGTCCATGAGGACAGTGTAAGGTCAGATCACAGGGTCCCTATGAGTTGTAGGTGACATGATGACATGTGACATCCTCTAGCTGCCTGGCTGCCTGTCCAGCCCTTCCTCCTGGTCTCCGGGTGCCCCCTGCCTGAAGCCCTGCAGGCCTTGTGCTTTGATCATAAACACCTTGGTACCATGGCACTGAGATTATCCCTCTAGACCTTGAGAAGTAGAGCAGGTATGTTTTCTGGTTGGGAAGATCAGGCTCCTGAATTCCCATGCCTTTGTTTCTCTCACAGGTGGAAGACGCACTGAGTGAAGTGGATTTTCAACTCAAGGTGGACCTGCACTTCACGGACAGTGAGCAGCAGTGAGTGTCCCAAGCGCCTTGGTCCACAGTCCTTCAATGCCCCCTTCATCACCTCGGTAACCTTTAGGGCCACACTTATGTCCAGGAAGTCAGGAGTCCACTTCTGAGCAGACTTGGGGGCAGTCGGCTTACTAAAGGGGTGTGGGGTCACCCTGAGCCATGCACATTTTAAGCGTGTGGCTCAAATGCTGCATGCATGGAGACCCCGTGACTTCCTGGCCGCACTAGGCACTGTTTCCCTCTCCTCGTAGATGCCTTCGTTTATTTCACTGCAGCATTGAGCTTTTGGAGTAATAACTCTCTGAGGATGCAAACACAGGCCTCTGATCAAAGGAGGTTCCGCAGGCATTCAGCATCGCTGTGACAAATATCTGCTATTGTGTCTCAACTCCCTGAAAACTGAAAACCGTTGAGTTAATGAAGGGACAGCACCCTTCTTTGGCACAGTGTTCACTTTGAATCTGCGCCGGGGCTCCTTCCTCCTTCTCAGGGTGAACTGTCATATTACAAGGCTTTTCCGCAGCTCTTTCCAGAAATAAATAGCCTTGCCCCAGGTGTGACAGGGCCCAGGGTGCAATCAAGACCGTCAGCTCCATCCATTGCTTAATGTCTCTCCTTGCTCCTTTCTCCACCATACCCCATCTGGACCCTGTTGTCCTTGGGTAGGAGGCACCCAGCTCAGAAGAGAGGGACTGAGTGGGTGGTGTCCAGTCTTCTCCACCTCACGCCTGTGGTTTGTGATCCCTGCAGGGTCGGGTGCAGTGAAGATGCGGAGAGATGGAGAAGTGACTATAGTCCCTTGTTGACTCGCTCTCCATATGTGGACTCTGAGTCATGGCCCTCTCCTCTCTGAGGGTGTTTCTGGGTGTTCCCTGGCGTCAGCCCTTTCCCACAGCCTCCTCTTGCTATTCTCTGGTATAAGTGATCTCTTCTGAGGTGGGCTTGTGCGTCCCCTTGCAGGAAGCTCTTCTGGGAAGACTCGTATCCCAAGACCCCACATCTAGAGCCTGGAAAAGACACTTGGGTTGCTGGGTCTGTGGTAGAATTCTCGTTATCCAAATGGGAGACCTGGGTTCCATTCCTGACTGACGTATCTTACGTGCTGCCCTTATCTGTCTGTCTGTCGTGTTGTTGTAATGCTGAAAAGATTTCAGGGATGCTTTTGGACCAAGATGGTGTAGGAATAAGGACCTGGCATTTACCGCCAGGGAGACAGAGAATGAGACTCTCCTGTCCTCAGAGGAGTGAGTAATGGAGAAGCCTGTGTGTAGTACTCAATCCAGGCACATTAACTTCTGCACTCAGACTCCATGCTTATTAATTAGGAGTCAGTAGACGAATCCTTGCACTTCGCTAAGTCTCAGTGGGCTCGTTTGTAAAATGGGCATCTTTATAGAATGCACACCTCCTAAGTCTGTTCTGAAGATAAAGGCAGATCATATATACAGCAAGCCGAGTGCTGGGTCCACTGATGAAATGTCTTCTTCTATTTATGGCTCCTGGCTGCTGTGGGACTGGGATTTGGAGAGCAGCTTCCTCTCTGTAATGCAAGGCACTTAATAACAATCAGGAGGGGCATTTCCTGAGATTAGCTGAGAGAAAGAGGAAGCCAGAGGCTGGAGGAGAGTTGAAAATGCCATATTTTTTCATTTCCATAACTCAGAATTAAGGGTGATGAGTCCGCAGAGCACCTCCTGAGGGCACACGGTAGGGTTTAAAACATTTCTGGCTTCGTGGCGTCTTTATCTCCGTGCAGGCCGGGCAGTGAGCAGAGAGGACCATGGGGTCTAAACTCCGGGAATCAGGGATCGTGGCGTTCTCCTGGGCCAGCGGTGCTCACTGGGGTGGGACCATGTTGCTTCCCAAAATGTGTTTGGCAGTGTGGTGGCATGCGCTCCTGTAAGACCGGTGCTCAACTCTGGGTGTTGTTTTCAGGGTACTCCTCTCATAAAGATTTGCAACCGTGAAAACCTCGGGGCGGGGGAATCCACTCTCTGGCGATGGGTTTGGATGTGAGTTTGGAGACAGTTTGGTTGTCACGTGGTGCCGGGGAGGGTGCGATTGACACCCTGTGAGCGGAGAAGGGGAAGTAACCATCATCAGCAGGATTATATGGTCCCAACATCAAACTGCTGTGACTGAGAACCCCTGCGCCAGGCCACCCTCCGCTTTACAACCCCAACTCCGCAAAGGCCCATCTGACTGTACAGGCTCTCGCAGCCTCTGCTCTCCTTACAGCACATCTGCCGTGGAAAGTTCGATCAGAACAATCTTTATGTACAGCGCGGATAAGCAAAGCTCTGGAGGGCATCTTATCATCTGCGGGTTAAACACCAGGCTCTCCGGGTGTGTTGAGACACAATCCATCCTGAAGGTGGTGTGTAGTCCTTGATCTTCTGCAGCAAGCATTTGGAGCCCTCCTCGCTTTCAGTGAGCAAGCTCATGTCACCTGCATAGTGTGGGCTGTTGATGAGTCTTCCTCTACTCCTAGGGCTACATCCATCTTCCCAAGCCAGCTTCTCAAAGGATTCGTTCAGCGGGCAGACTGGATAGATAAGGAGAGAGGCTACAACCCTCACACACACTTTTTCTGATTTTAAACCTTGTCCTCTTCATGGTTCTAAACACACACGGCTGCTTGGTCTAGGATTAGGTTTCGTATGAGCATCATTAGGTGCTCTGGGACTCCCATTCTCAATATCAGCCGCAATAGTTATGATCCACACAGTCAGATGCCTTTGCATAGGCAATAAAGCACAAATAGACAGTCTTCTAGCATTCTTTGCTTTCGGTCAGGGTCCATCTGACATCAGCAATGATAGAACTCCCTAGTGCCATGGCCTCTTCTAACCCCAGCTTGAACTTCTGGCATTTCTCCTTCAAGGTATTATGCCGCCCGTTTTTGGATGATCTTCAGTGGCAAGCAGTATTTTGTTCGCATGTGAGAGTAATGATGTGTTGGATCTCCAGTCTTGTTAGGGTAACACAGTTCAGTCCCCAGGAGCAGCAGACATTCAGTGTGTCAATGGCTCGCATTAATAAGCCAACCTTTGCCCAGCCTCTCCATCATGCCAGATGCTGCTTGATGTCCCTGCGGTCTTCTCCTGCTCTTGGTTTCTTCACCCGCAGTCCTGGGGCAATCTTGTCCTTCAAGGAGCGTGTGTGTCCTGGAGCTGCCCTGGAAGCCCACCCCCTCCCTAACAGGAGCCCCCCCCACTAATGTGAGCCCACCTCTCACTAACGGGAGCCCCCCCTCGCTTTCCAGGCTGCGGGACGTGGCTGGAGCCCCCCTGATCAGCAGCCGCACGCTGGGCCTGCACTTCCACCCACGGACTGGGCTGCACCACCAGGTCCCGGTCATGTTCGACTACTTCCACCTGTCGGTCATCTCGGTCACGGTCCACGCCGCCCTGGTGGCACTGCAGCAGCCACTCATCAGGTACTGTGTCTGAGGGTGCTCTGATGTGGCAGCGGTCACTCGGGTCTGTACGCTTTAGGAGGGGGTGAGATGGGGGCTGTGAGGAGAGGTCGGCGCAGACAGGTATCGTGTGCCGGGGGAGGGCTAGACTCTGGGCTTCTCTGCAGGTAATGGGAAGGGTGAGCATGGGGGATGCAGTGTGTTGGCATGTATATGAGTTATGTCAATACATATGTGAGCATGACTGATATGTGCGTGTGGGTGTGCCTCGGTGTGTGTGCAACACACTTTTGTGTATGTTTGTGTATGGTATGTATGTGTGTAGTGTCTGTGTGTAGGACATGTATGTGTGTAGTGTCTGTGTGTAGGACATGTATGTGTGTGGTGTCTGTGTGTGCAGGACATGTTTGTGTGTGGTGTCTGTACAGGACATGTGTGTGTTGTCTCTGTGTTCAGGACATGTGTGTGTGGTGTGGGAGTGTGTGTGATATATGCCTGAGACACAGGTGTTTGCACGGTGTGGGTATGCGTCTGGCACATGTGTGTGGCATGTGTGCCTAACCCTGGCACCTGTGTGTACTTGTGTGTGGTTGTTGGTGTGGGGGAGTAGCTGGCACTGCAGCGCAGGGGGAGGTGATGTCCGAGGGTTAAGGGGACGTTGCATGAGGGCAGTGACTGAATGTCCGGCTTCCACGAGGAGACCAGCTTCACTTCTCAGTCGAGGCACCTCACGTGCAGCTGCCACTTGCCAGGGAGTCTTCTGTGCTGCTGTGATTCTGCACATGCTTCAACAGAGCCTCTAAGGGAAGGTAGACTAGGAAGAAAGGCCTGGCGACCTACTTCTGCAATATCAGCTGATGACAACCATGGGGTCACATGGTCCAGTTCCCACTGATCGTAAGGGTGGCGTGGGGCCAGCAGCATTGCTCTCATTGCTCATGGGACCATCACGAGTGAGGGCCCGACTCAGTAGCGTCTAACAGGAATGATCCGTGATGCATCAAGAACTGAGAAACTATTTGTTATAGAAAAGGGACATTGAAAGTCCTGGGGCAGGAGAAACCCAGGAGCCTAACCCGTTGCTGTTGAGCCAGTCCCAACTCACGGGGTCCTTGGAGGACAGAGCTGAAGCGCCTCCATGGACCCACGGCTCTGAATCTCTGCGGGAGCAGCCTGCCTCATCCTGGTTCTCTGCTACTGTTGGTGTGTTTGAACCACCAGCATTTGGCTGAGTAGCCGGATGCCTTAGCTCTTTGCTTCCAGAGCGTTGTGAGCCAAGGACGGGCTCCACTCCCTGTTCTGTAAAGACCTCTCCAGCAGCTGTGAGCAGAAGGTCCGTCAGAGTGGAGACAGGAGGTGGGGCACAGATAGTGACCACTGGCCATGGTGAGGAGTGCGACACCCACAGACGTGACAGAGAAAGCAGATTCCATCCCTTTGCTGCTGAAAGCCCTGATGGTGTTCTACTCAGGACTGCAGGCCCTGGAACCTCTCGGTTGGAAGCTGAACCTCCTGAAACAAAGTGTAGGCTGCAGGTTGATCTGCAGCCGCCTTGACAGCACAGAGCACAGAGAAAAATTCCCAAGAGGTACAGGGACTGCCCCAAGGAGGGGTAAAAATAGCACTGTCTTGTCTCCTGTGGGTTTGGCAGGAAGAATTCCTCCCGTGAGCTGCCAGGGACTGGGAACAAAGGCAACTCTTTAAGGTTGAGGAAGATACTTGTCAAGTAGAGCAAGCTCTAGCTTTTCTGGAAACCTGTTTTTAGCAACATTACTTAAATCTGATCAGTAGGAAACAGGTGTAAAATTAAAATTTAACCTCACAAAACCTTTACCTTTCCTGAAAGATACAGAAGAAAGGAGTTTAATTTTATCCTTCAGAAGGGTGCGATTGTATTTCAGTGGAGATCTCCAGATCCAGCAGAAGTTAATTGAAGGTCACACACAAATGATGAATGAATGAATAATACATTGTTTTACTTATTAACTTTCAGCCTGTGCCCTGCAAATGAAATTAGATGTTGAGGGGTCCATGAACATCTATACTCAGTCATGTTCCAATTTCTTTCTGGAATTTTCCTTCTATTCCTCTCCTAGTTAAATTCTGGACTTGCTTTCCATAAATATCAAATAAACTAAGGAGATTAATTTTTGAAAAATGAGCACTGATGTAATATGCTACATGTTGAGCTGTGAACTAACGGTCATCATTTCAAATCAGCTGGACACACGTTGCAAAATGCAACCAGGGCTCTGAGGAGATGGGCTGTTCCTTCCAAATGGTTTATTCCACAGCCTCCCTCGTACCGCTCCTCAAAACTCAAACAAAACCTGGAGCTGTCATTCTGCCTTATGCTGACCCCTATGACAGAGTGGAACTGCCCACCAGGTTTTCTTGGTCGAAGTCCTTGTGGAGGAAGCGTCATTAGCAATCTTCCTCATGCATGTGACACAACCTTCCTTGCTGAATGTAAAGAGAACTTGAAACGCTTAATGAAGAAGAGCAAGGACTATAATCTGCAGGACATATTACACTTCAACATAAAACAAAAATGCGCATGCCATGAAGAAATGGAGAAGAGATTGAAGCCAGGGATTTCATTTTGCTGGAACCTCAAATCAGTACCCATTGGAGAAAACAAGAATCATGAAAGCAATGTGTTGTACTGAACAGACACAATGACAAGAACCTCTTTAAGGAGCAGGGGAAGGAATTATGCTGCCAACATGAAGGTCCACAGCTTGAACTCACCAGTTACTTCATGGAAAAAAGAAGAGTAATCTTCTCTGTTACAATTTCCTGCCTCTGAAAACCTGCTAGAGAGTCAGCTGTGGGTTGGTTCCACCTTGATGGTAATAAACAATAACAACAACGGCGGTGAGGAGCGGAGCTGCTGTCCCAAAGGCACCGATTCTATGTAATCAGCTTCTCCATGGGAGCAAGATGGGCAGTCTCCTCTGCGATTCAGTTGCCTCTGAAAACCCACTGGAGGGTCAGCTGTGAGTTGGTTCTGGCTAGACAGCACACAACAACATTAAGAGCAAGGATGTCACATTAAAGGTGTGCTTGCCAAAAGCTATGATATTTTCAGTTGCTTCGTATACCTCTGAAGGTTGGACAAGGAATAAGGAAGACCAAAGAAGAAGTGCTGTCTTTGAAATGTGGTGTGGATAAAGAGCCTTGACGATACCATGGGATGCCAAAAAAAGTCTTTCTTGGAAGAAACGTAGCCAGACACAAAGGTGATGAGATCTCATGTGCACACTTTGGGGGTGTCAGCAGAAGGGGGAACTGTCCAGGGAAGGAATTGATGCGTGGACAAGGAGGGGCTCAGCAGATGGCAGGCAGAGCCTCAGTGAGAGAGATCGGCTTAGTGGCTGCAATAACGAGCGTGAACACGGAGTTTGGAAGGAGGGCACCCTATGAGGGGAGGGTCATTGTGTTGTACATCAGGTTGCTGTGAGTCAGGTTGCTGTGAGCTACTCAAAGGCAGCTGGCAGCAACAACAGCCTCTTCGGAAAGAGACTACCAAGCGTTTTTGTCCAGGTGAGTTTGAATTGCCAGCCTTTCATTTAGTAGTCAGCTGTAAACTTCATCAAAATTTGAAGATCTTTCATTGAAGAGATGAATTAATGGTGCCATCTCTTTCTTGCTGTCTTCACTTCTCTCTTAGTTTCGCTCGTCCAGGAAGAGGCTCGTGGCTTGGCAAAGGTGGTCTAGATGCTGGGCCCGAACAGTCCGGCATGTCTCTGGAGAACCTGGTGTTTGGCGCTGGATACTGTAAGCCGACCTCATCAGAGGTAAGGTCTTCGTGGGGCAGCCCCACACTTTGCAATATTTATCTTCTCTGTGAATTCCTAGCTTCTTCCAAGCATTCTGTTTAGAGACTCTTTGCCATGTCTGCCCCTTCCTTTCCTTTGTCCATCCATTCCTTCCTTTTATTACTCACACTCATTAAACACACCCTTGTGCCAGCCCTTGGACTAGAGTCAGGGACTGCTTCATTTGCTACCCCTTCCCTACGGCTCCTCGGAGAAAGTCGTGGAGGAAACAGTGGAAGTCCTTGACCTTGGAGCCATGCCTGGCCACACCTGGCACCATCCCTCATTGCCTGCTTCTTCGAGCTTCTGATCTGAGTGGTTTATTCTCTGTCCCCAGCACTGTGACCCACGTGATGCCCACTCCCTGTCCTCTCTTCCTGATCAGCATGCACCAGGGTCTTTGGTGATGTGCAGCCTGTGTCCACATATACACTGTCTGTGGGCAACGTTCTCCTGCACTAACACATGATGTGTTTTGATAAGTGCAGTGTTGGCGCTAGTCAGGCAGTCAGATGAGTGAGCAATGCCGCCCGCGCTCGGACCGCCTCCATCAGATGGGCTCTATCTTCTGTGCGGCTGGGCTCCGTGCCCACACTGGCCAAGGCATCGGGCTGGAATGGCCCTGTGACATCTCCCTTCCCAGCTCTGAGCCCAGCCAGCAGGTCTGACCAAGGAGGCTGCCCAGGCTGTGTCACCTGCTGGTCTGAGCTGCCATGTTGCATGTTAACCTGGGACACGTGAGGGACAGGTTGCCAGGACCCTCCTGTAGGACAGGGCCTGGAGGTAGTCACCTAGGTGCTGAGAAGGGGCAGCATGAGAGATAAGTAGAGCCTCTTTGAAGGTGGATCCGGTGCCTGGTCTCCCCCAGTCACGGAGCCTCTGGCACAAGACCCAGGAGGAGAGAGGGAAGCAGTGGCTGGATCTCCACGCAGGCATGCAGGGTTCAGGGCTCCACCATGGCGCAGGCATGCTTGACGCCATGCTTGCTCCGTGTCCCCAAGCCAGGCACAGACTCATCCGTGTGCAGTGCTTGCTGGAATGTGCGCAAGGGCTGCCCTGACGCTGAGGTGCTGGCAGCGGGCTCCCCAGAGCCAGCCCTGCCCTGGAGCTCCTCATGAGACCTTTGTGTTATCACATCACAGCCCAGCTGCTCACACCAGCAAGTCCTGCTCTTCCCACTGTGCTGAGGTCACAGGCTCTCCCCGGAAGCCTGCCGCTGGGAAATCCACAGGAAAACAGCCAACAATGTTTCTAGGGGTTCTGAGCCAGGGCCTTTTGTGTTCTCAAGACACATCCCTCTAGACAAAGACTCTAGCAGACCTGATAGCGGCCCAGCATCTGCTTTAAGGCTCACTACACCTCCCTAGATCTGGAGCAGGGATCACCTCCTCCAGGAAGCGCTCTTGGATTTTCTAGGAAAAATGTTCCCTTTCCCTGGTGCCTTCTGCACAGTCAGTCCTGGGCATTTCTCTGGGATTGCCCTGCTTCCTATCCCAGCGCTCCAGGCTCTGACAGTGCATGGGGACACTCAGTGCATGTGTGCTGAATGAGTGCTGGACACAGGCCTGCCTGTTGTTTGTGCAGGCCACTGAGCGTGGAGAGACCTCTGCCCTGCAGGTGGGTCACTGCCTCATATAGCAGGGGACAGCAGGAGTGTCAGGGCACCTCTGCGGACATTGAGGTGGCAGCTGGAGCATTGCTTTGAGGATCCAGGCCTGGAGTACGTTGTGGGTCTTTCTAGCCCACAGGTAAGGAGGCATCCACATTCCACGCTCCGTCTCCACTGTCAGGCCTGTGGTGATGTGAAGCAGAGAGGATTCTGGCTTCGTGTCTCCTTTCTGCTAAATGTCCTGCGACAAAGGAGGTCTCACCCACCCACCCACTGTAAAGTGGGCCTCGGCGAGAGAGACCACAGGAGTGACTGTCTGTGAGCGATTTACACAGCTGCTCCGAGCAGACACGCGACACGGTGGGGTTCTTGCCCTCCTTTGCTTTCTTGCCTTGGTTTCCTGAGGAGCTGTGTCTCTAAGCAGACATCTGGTCTCATACTAGAGTCCAGGAGCCTTCTCTGGTGATGCTTCTCTGCTCTGCTCTGAGAGCTTAGCTCAGGAGTTCTCTGCAGAGTAAGATTCTTTTCCTGTGGCTCCTCCATTTGGTGGCCATCCAGTCGTGCTGGCTCAATGTCTGTACCCACCTGCACCTTCCTGTTGCAGACCGAGGGTCCCAAAGAATGGAATAATTTTATAATTATTAATAATGAGACAAACAGCCAGGAATGTGATAGAACAGAGAGAATAAAACAGGGGGCCAGCAGTTCTCGACTGAAGACCCCAAGCCAAGCTTCTCTGTGTCTTTATTGAAAATTATCAGGAAGTAAATCACAAAGAGAATTCAATGCAAATGAAGCCAAGCTCTTTCTATTGAAAACCTGCTTGACTCAGGAAGGAAGGGTTCACAAAGGCAAGAATTTGGTTTACCCTTAACTATTAACCTTGATGCCTCAGGGTGAACTCTAGCTCAGGAAGTAACACTCCCTCTGTAGGGGGCCCCTTGCTGTCTCATGTCTTGCAGGGAACAAACAGCTCATTTTCTAGGATCTGCCACAAGAGAAATCCTAACTTAAATATCTGTAATTCCTTCAATTCCTGAACAAGGGTTTTCATATAATATTTGGTATAAAGTTTGGCTTCCCATACCTTCCCATCAAGTAAGGACCGTGAGCAAGGAGTGAGACCCCCGCCCCTCCCTGGGAGGTCTCCTCAGCCCCGGAACTCTTAGCAATGACTTGACTACACAGATGGCAGCATGAGCTCCAGGGTAAGGGGGGTAACGGAGCAGGTGTTCCTGCCGACCACGCTTCCCAGCAGAGGCATCCGGGGTCTGTCAGCGGAAGGTGGCTCCATGGGAGGAAACATGCGGAGCAGGGTAGCCCGCACGCCTGGTCCCTCTCGCAGCAGTGCTGAGCCCTCACGTCTCAGATCCATTGTTTTGTGATGTTTTAACAGACATGATGTGCTCAGTGAAGGTTATTGTAAGCCACAGACTTAAAGCCCATTCTGCTCCACCAACTCAGTTGTAAATCACTTTTGGCTTCAGTGAAATACCTTATTTTATTCTAACGAAGTTTTTATTATTATGACATTTTATTATCAGTGTCTTCTTTATTATTTTAATTGTGATTTTAGTGAAAGTTTACAAAGGTTTGTTTTCATTCACTCATTCCCAGACATATCCTTCGTCTCCCTCCCCCAGATCCCTTTGAAATGCTTGTCCTTCTCCAGACTGTGAATTGCCAACATTAGTGTCCAGTTGTCCATTCCTGTCAGGTTGTACATCCTTCCCACTACTCCAGAGCAGAGTTCACGACCTACCCATTCCTCTCCTGCTCCCTCCCCTCCCTTATTGAATCTATCTTAAGGACATGACACTGGTCCTATGCAGTAGTTGCCCTTTTTTGACTGAGATGGTACAATTCCTGAGGGATGTATTAATTTTAAAAAGTAGCAAATGGAAATACTGGTTGACCCAGCTATCCCAGCGCTGGGAAGATAACCTAAAGAAATCAGAGCTGTGACACAAATAGATGTATGCACAGCCATGTTTATTGCAGCGTTATTCACAATAACAAAGAGATGGAGACATCCCAAGTGTCCATCAAAAACTGAATGATGGAGAGATGCTGGGATATATTGACACAGTGGACTATATTAGGCAGCACTGAAAAACAATGAACTCGTAAAACAGTAAACAACATGACTAAGTCTGAAAGACTCTGCTGAGTGAAATGTTATCAGTATTTTATAAATCATGACCTTGAATGTCTACAAGTGGACATCAAAAAGGGAATGTCAGTAAATGACAAGTTTCACAGCAATAGGAGCTGTCTTACTGTTCTATGCAGCAGTGTGTTGTGTGGTGCACGTCACAGACAGTAAGAGCTTCAGAAGAACAAACGCAGCTAGGCCTGAGTGCAGTCCCTGGGAACCCGAGCTCTGATGCACCGTCAGTCACAGGGGCTCCTGTGTCACCTCTGGCTGAAGGAGAGCTGATGTCTTCCCCACCTTGTGCCGAGAAGAGTAAGTGGAATTAAGTGTGTGACGGCCTTGAACCCAGAGCTTGTCACATGGGGCCCAGTTCAGGCCTCTCTGCTGGGGACCTTTTCTCCTTCTGGTTTTTCCTGAAAGCTGCAGTGCGCTGCACTCATGCTGGCCTGGTCTCCTGCGTGGGGCTGCTTCCTAGACAGAAGGACCTGCTTCGGCACCAAGGGAGCCTGGGCAGCACCAGGGGTTAAGTGGGTACTCACCACAAAGCTGATGGTTTCAAAACCATCAGTGGAGTCACAGAAACCCAAGCAATTTGCTTCCTTCCACAAAACTTGAAAATACGTTGCTGTCAAGTTGGTCCTGAACCATAATCACCCTTCTGGATAGAAAGAAACTTCCCCAAAAGATTTCTAAGACTGTAATATTTAAAACAAAAAAAAATTAGAGAAAAAGGTTTATTAAGGCATTAAGAGAGAGGCGTAGCTAGTGAATGGCAGGTAGGCCCTGTAACAGTTAAAATGAAGAAGAAAATGGACAAAGAGGGAGAAAGAATACCCAGAAAGACAAGATTGAAACCAAAACTTATACCATGATGTCAGCAGAAAAGAAGAGAAAGAGCAAGACTGCAACCTTTTTAGAAGCAGACCGCACATCCTTACTGCTATGATGCAGATGGTAATCTCAGTCAACCTTTCATTTAACAGCGGAACAGTTAGCCACTGTCCTTCTAGGCCTCCTCTCAGTAAATATTTCAGCCAAGAAAACACTCTGAAGTACTTCTACTGTTTATCACACGGGTGTCATGAGTTAGAATGAACATGATAGCAACATTTGCATGTGTCATTCTTGTGTTGTGTACCGTTGAATTGGATCCTACCTACAGCTGACCCTCTGGAGGGTTTTCAATCATGTCAGAGGAGACTACCCATCCTTCTC